GGTTCAGAGCTCATCTTATCCTCTTTGCTACTTACCTCTTTACTACATCTGAGAGTTCTTATTGAGTATCTCATTACTGTCGTTTAAATCATCAACTTCTGATTCCTGCTCATGCCCTTTTCCAGTGAACAACAAGAGATGTTGCTCTCAGAACAGCAATTATGAATTCGTTAATAACAGAGATATCTTGGAAAATCCAGTACCGGGAAAACTGTTTATTTCGTTTATTTTTATTTATTTTTTTAGTTGTTGGCATAACTGCGATGTTCGAAATCTTCCAATATCAAAAGCAATAAGCAGGACCAAACACCCAATGCGCGCGTCCCAGCGCCAGCTATCCTGGAACTACGAGTGCTGACTGTACACTAGCTTTCCATCACTAAAGTACGACCTATTTTGAAAATATCAGCCTTCAGAGAACTCTTGCATGTTTTCGACCACAACTCCCCAACTATTAAGAGTCCTGTCACAATTCAGATCTGACTCCTCGTGAGCTGATCTCAGAGGCTAATCTTGCCGTAGGATATTTCACCATTGCCTTACTGTGGTGTTGCCTCAGTGTTTCATTCCAGGGTCCTTATTCTTGAAACAGGGGAGCAGCGTTTCCAGGAGAACGAGTGTTCCGTCTTCCTCAATGATATGCAAATGATAAAGTAACAAAGACGGAACACTCGTTCTCCTGGGAATGCTGCTTCCCTGTTTCAAGAATAAGGCCCCAGTGGTTTTTGTTTTCCTCTCGGATCCACTTATCTGAGCAGTCACGTATCGAGATTTTTGATATTTCGAATATGGGTTGCGTTTTCAGAAAAGCCGACAACGCTGGTGTGCCCCGGCACCCGCGCAATAGTTACCTTATTATGGCTGGCTAGGGTTGACAACGTACAAAACTGGATACCTGGAATGTGAGAACCATGGCCCAAACAGGTAAAATACAAAACGCCATCAAAGAAATTGAACGGTTAGAGATCAAAATTTTGGGAATAAGTGAAATGAGATGGCTGAATGCAAGCTACTGTGATATTCAAAAACATGGAATATACTACTCAAGAAGTCCCGTCACACATGAATATGGAGTGGGAGTCATACTGCACTAATCAGTGGCATAAAATGTCTCATATCTCAAATGAAAAAATAAAGCTAGTTCAAATAAAAGTAATTCCAGCAAATGTCAACATTATACAGGTGTATGAACCCACAAGTGGACATGAAGAGGCAGATATAAATAACTCGTCCAGATGAAGTGCAGTCAGAGATCTTAGATGCAGGGTGCCAAGAAAATGCAGTCATTACAGAAAAATAAGCCTTGTTGAAACTATTTTTAAAAATTATGCATCGGAGATTGTACAAAATCTTCGAGTGACAAGTATCACCTACACAATTTGGTTTTATGAAAGGTCTTAGAACAAGATACGCCTCATTCAGTGTAGAAGTGCTCTTCTAACGTTGCAGAGATATCAATTGTAATGTGTATGCCTGTTCCATTGACTATCAGAAAGCATTTGAAGTTCACCACAACAAAATGATGGAAGTTCTGCAAGATAATGAAGTTGACGGCAAAGACTTACGCATAATCAAAAACCTATACTGGAGACAGTCAGCTTCTGATAGAATCAATCATGAGAAAACAGAAGAAGTGAAAATTTTACGAGGAGTACGGCAGGGATGTCTTATATTCAACATGTACTCAGAGACAATTTCCAAGAAGCCCTAGATTACGCGAAAACTACTATAAATTGGCGGATGAATAAACAATTTTAGATATGCCGATGACACCGTTATTTCTGCTGACACTGGACAGGGACTACAGCTTTTAATAAACAGTGTAGTTGAAATTAGTGAGAAATATGGCTTAGAAGTTAACACCAATAAAACAAAAGTCATGATAAATAGCAAGGAGAGAATTGGAGGAGTACAGTTTTCCATTGATGAGAAAGTCGTAGAACGAGTGCCAACTGATCCTGGTAGAGTAGTAAATGAACAGTGGGACCATTTCTAAAAAATAAGATCAAGAATTCAATTGTCCAAATTATTCAAAACACATAATTTAAATTAAAAATTAAAACTCAGACTTCTCCGATGCTACATATTCTCTGTCTTGTTATACGGAGTAAAGTCTTGGACCTTGACGGAGGCAACAACAAAGATACTGGAAGCATTCAAGTTCTGGACTTATAGAAGAATCTTCAAAATATCATGGATGGACAAGGTATCAAACACCCGAGTGCTGCTCATGTAAAAAGTAGAAAATTGGATTATTTGGGTCACATGATGAGAATCGAAACCAAATATAAATTGCTGAAATGCATTCTACAAGGAAAGGTCAAGGGCAGGAGAAGCATCGGCAAAAAACGGATATCGTGGCTGAAGAAATTAGGAACCTGGTTTGAAACATCCACCTCAGGTCTTTTCAGAGCAGTAACAGATAAAATTATCATTACTAGAATGATTGCCAACATTCGGTACCGGATAGGCACTGGAAGAAGAAGAAGAAGCGTTAAAATGTGTTGCAAGCAGTATCACACTAATTTTGAGTTTATCTGTTGGCATGTTAAAGCTTTAATAGCTGCTTGAGGATAAGCCATATACTCCGGCACCGGTTCCACTTTCGGTTTTGGAGCCATTGTGTATGATTCTAACTTGCCATTCTGGACTAGTTAGTTTTTTGTTCTGTTTTCCCAGTTAATCTGGGTTTGAAACCATTTGTGAGTGTTTATTCTGTCATGTTGTTACTCCTCATCTCAAACAGTGAGTTTGTAACAATGTTATCCTGGTATGTCCGGTGTTCCTCTTGGATTCCAGTTCTGGCCACAATTGAGTCTGTAGGCCTCTAATCTTCCATCAGCTATGACAATGATATCAAGCCGCGGTGGGAATTTTAGTATGGCTTTCATACCAGCAGTTGGAGCCATTGGAGGGCTTTTGATTTTACCCATTATGCAGAGACAAGCCAATCTTTGAAATTTGGATAGCTCTATTGTTGCTTTGCTCTGTTTGTCCAACAAATTATCCATCCGTAGAATATTCTGGGTCTTACCAATGACATAGGTCTTACCAATACTGTATAGATCCAATATACTATGGGGGCTAGAAGTCCCCATTTCTTCCCCATTGTTCTTCTGGTACCATTAGTGCCATTCTACCTTTGTCGGTCACGTTTTCACTATGCGTTTTCCAAGTTAGTTCTGCATACAGGATAATCCCTAGACACTTGACTTCTCAAACCAATTATATTTGCTTTCCGAAAAAAAGTGGGAGGGCTATTCCCTCCCACTCTAGTCTAGTTTTCTTTTTTTCGTGAAGGGTACCATTGCTGTTTTCTCAGGGTTGACCCTCAGGTTTGCCCTTTTCACCCAGTCCTCAGGTTTGCCCTTTTGACCCAGTCCTCCACGATTTTAAATGCTCTTTTCATTTGCGCAGAGGTAGTTTGGAAATTTTTCCCCATGGCTACGGCTACTACATCATCTGAGTAACTCTGTGTATAAATGTTCTGTTAATAAGTTCTACTAGGCGTTCATCTACGACCAGGTAGGACCCCACCCTGTGGCCTGTGGGCAGCCTTCTGATACTGACATTTCTATTGTATCATTATTAAAAGTTGCCTGAATTTGTCTGCCACGAAGCATGTTATCAATCCATCTGCTAATGGAGTGTGACTCCGTAGTCCGTGTCCGGACAAAGCAGTGTTCATAGATTCAAATGGGGCAAAGGCTTCCTCCTGGTTATCATTTGCGCACTCTATTCTTGCCACCTGTTGGTGTATGGCCGTTTCGCAAGATTCACCCTCGGATTTACCCACTTGATGGTCATGTTAGTTTTGGTGTACCTAGTCACTGATATGTTTATTATTCGTCTTCATAATAAAGGAGGATAGTGTAATAGGTCTGACACCTTTGGCTGCGAGTAGTCTTTCCCAGGTCTTGGTATAAAGAGCATTCTGACCTTTTTCCATGTATGGGATATCTTGTGGCTCTAGCTCTTAGTAGTCTGCAGAGTGACGGCGATATGATGGATTTCCGGTGCTGGAGTGATCGGTCCCTGGCGATTTAAATGATTTAAAAGAGTATCAGCATTGGACAGATTGGACTGTGATTGCGGAAAAGGGTGTTAATCTGTGAACACATTGGGGAGGTTTTCAAGTTGCAATTTCTCTCCAATGGTTTTGTTTGGTGAATCTGCTTTAGCGATCGCACAGAATTGAATAGATCAGAATATCAAAATTAACTTGTTAGTTTCTCAATAATAACTCTATCGGCGACTTTTATTTTTCTTCTGTTCCCGGCTCTAAACTCAGTCAGGTGTTATTTCAACAATAATTATGATAATAATTATTACACTACCGAAACAAAAATTCAAATACCTAATTAACTCTTTGAAATAGACTTACTAACGGTACCTATGACCATCTTTGACTATAAATTCCCATGCCAACTAAAAATTAAAATGGTAATAATTATAATTAGAAAATACTAATAATTAAAAAAAAAAACTACTTTTATATGAGGTATTTAATTCCGTAAGTGCGATTGCCCCATGTGTATTTTTTCGGTCCTCATTATCGGGGCCTGCCTACAAATTTTATTGCCCGGAAATTTCAACCATCATTTCTATTAATTTATGCCATTTGCCGAAGAAAAGAGATTGTTTTAATGAGAAAAAAATTATAATTTCGTTTGAACATAAGTAGGGGGCCTTCAAATAAAGAATTGTTACAGAATATACAGGATTCGGACTGGTTTAGGTGAATGTAACGTTGAAAAAATTATGTAAAAGTATATTTTGTTTATTTACGGTAACTGCTAATAAAGAGCTTTTTGGGTTTCTGGATGATACCTGCTGTGCTGTTAAAAGATATGGATAAATAATAAACGAGGGCGAATTTTCATTGTAGCTTTGGAGAGGGTGCAAATCAAGCTTCAAAATGTTAACAGAATTTGAATAAAACATTGAAAAATAAAAATATGTGTGAAGATTTTATATTAATAGAAGTTTTTCTGTTTCAGTAATGTATCTTCAAAGCCAAAGACCGAGCCAACACCACATACGAATCAAAAATCTTCCCTAAATGTCATACTACTTCCACTGCTAGCGTCAAAAGTACCAGGTGCTGTGCTCAGCTGGGTCCAGTATTAAAACCGGCACAATCATTGGCGTAGAAATTGCCCCATCGCTTTGCCCAATGGGGGCCGAGACCTCCCCCGAGCAACAGTACTCGTTGCGATGGAACGATTTCCATTCGTCCATACTCTCCTCATTTCGACATCTACGAGACGAGGTAAGAACTTATTTTTTGTAGAATTTGAAATATTCACCAACTGATATACTATAATGGATGAGTCAGAACAAGGAAATTGCAAAACATCTTCTGCTTGGATTTGTGTGAGCATTTTTTCACAGATGTTATAGTGGGTGGTATGAATAAAAACGAAGTACTTGCTACTACTACAAGTATTAGTATGTTCTACGTAGTATTTACTTCAAAACGAAGTAGATACTACTAATTTACTAATTTCCGGTAGTGTCGAAATGTAGTATCTACTTCGTTTTGAAGTAAATACTACGTAGAACATACTAATACTTGTAGTAGTAGCAAGTACTTCATTTTTATTCATACCACCCAGTGTCAAGTATGAAAATGCTTCCAAACTCAAGACTGGTCTAAATTGCCTTAATATTGGATGATGAAGGTGAAGGATAGAGAAGCGCCTCATGTGCAAAAAAACTTGAAGATTATTTGAAGTTTGCATTACTGAAGTCTTTCGTCCTCCGCTTATGGTTTTTTCCTAAAGATGTTCTTCGTTCCTAATCTTCAATTCATCTACTGTTTCCGTTGCCTCATTTACATTTGGCTTCGTATCAGAAGTCTTGTAAAATTAATATTCACTCTAGTATCCACTGTATCAAGAGTGCCTCCTTTTCTCTTATAATTTTTCCGTCATTTTTACTTTCAGCAAGTTCCTCTACATGGTCCCCCTTATTGTCTAATTCAATGCTTCCATTTTTATGATAGAACTCTTTCTGCTTTTTTATTGAGACTACTTCTCTAGCTGTTATAAACTTTCCTTCTCCATGATCTTGAGTTCTTATGAAGCTCCACCTCTAGGTTGGTTGGTTGATTGAGATGCAGAGTGAACAGGCCCGGTTAGGTGGCCCCAACACTCCTATTTGTCTGTTTAATCAGTGGAAAGTTTCGTGACCTTGATAAGGTTTAGGAGCCTCTTCACCGTGTTACTTTTAGTGAGTTTACATATAGGGTCTTCTGGCCCTATCTGTCTGTATTTCTATCAGCGTAAAGCCTCACATTCAAAGATTATGTGGGTGGCGGTTTCATCCTCGTCACAAAATCTGCATATGGGTTTTTCTTGCCCATAATGTGAAGTTGTTTTCTCAGGTTACAGTGTCGAGTTATTAGCTTGATTTGATTCCTGTTTAGTTGTAGGATCTTTTCAGTGAGTTTAGGTGATGGTTGTTGTACCATTAGCTTACTGGAAAATCCACAGGTTGCTGGTAGAATGGTAATCGATAAACGATTTCACCTTACCTTGCTCACACTTCCTGTCGACAAGTAGTACCAGTTGCCAAAAACACTTCGCCCGCTTCGTGTAGTTCGAGAAAATAGACCCGCGATTTTTCGTTTGCCGCGACCGGTTAAATCAAGAAGGTTTCATTGCACTCCTACGCATGGGACCTGAACTTCCTGAATGAGCTGGCCAGCTGAGTGGAGTGGAAGTAGAGCAAAGTAAGGTGAAAAATCCTTTTCAGTTTTGATATCTTTCAATTTCATTTTGGAATCTTTCATCGATTAGCATTCTATTAGCAACCTGTGTTTTTTCTAGTTTTAATTTCGCACATCAATTTCGGAAGAGTTTGCCACTAGGTTTGGTGTTGTCTATACACCCATTGGTTTATTTTTGTTGTTACGGAAGATTTTGTGGTGCCCTCCTAAGGTTTTCTCTCAGACAGGAGTTGACTGATGTCGCATCTGGTAGTTTTTTCATATATTCCAGCGCCGGTTCCAGTTTCTGTTTTGGAGCCGTCAGTAAACCCATAGTTAAAATCGGGTTTGTGATTATTTTGGTGATAACCGCATGTCCATTTGATTTTGGGTTCCAGGTTTCGTTCAGCTGGGGACGATATGCCCCGATTTTAGCCTCCGCTTTGACGATAAGATCAATTAGTGGGAGGTTCAGAATCGTTCCTATACTTGCCGTACGTTGGTGTGCTTTCCTGTGCACCGGTAATGCAAAGACATGCAAGTCTCTGGATTTTGGCTAGCTCCAGGTTTGCTTGTCTTTGGTTTATTTTAGGCCATCATACAAGTGCACCATATGTTATCATTTGTCCTACAACCGTAGTGTATATCCAGTATACAGCTGACGGTTTTAGTCCCCACGTTTTCCCAATTGCTCTTTTTAGTGACATTCACGTCATCTTGCTTTTGGTGGTTATCTTTTGGATGTGTTGTATCCATGTCAGCTCCATATCTAAAATGATGCCTAGAAATTTAGCTTTCCTGCCAAACTCCAAGGTTGTTTGGAATAGACTGGGGACGATAAAGTCCTCCAGATATCTTTCTCTCATGAAACTGCTCCCTCGTACCCCATTCCTCAGTGATTCCTAGGGCGTCCTGCATGACTCATGAGGTTTGATACCGTCCTGGTAAATCCTCCCCTGATGACAACGACTATGTCATCCGGGTAGCCTAGGGTGAAGTAGCCTTGATCGTTTAGTTTCCTCGGAAGTTCATCCACGATTGGATTTCACAAGAGTGGTGCAAGCACTCCGCCCAGGGTCCTTATTCTTGAAACAGGGAAGCAGCGCTCCCAGGAGAACGAGTGTTCCCTCTTTTTTACTTATATTACATTTGCATATCATTGAGAAAGAGGGAACACTCGTTCTCCTGAGAACATTGCTCCCAATGACCTATTATCACAGATACACAAGAGTATTTCATTCATAAAATGCTATTTGTTGTGTTGACAACATGTTTATAGGCCAAAGTGGGTTCAGGGTGCGGGCGGTCCATGGCGGGCATAAGTCGCCCGATCTAAGTCCGGTCTCAACAGCTGTTTCCTGCCATGGACCACACCCAATTGGTCCCGCTCCAAAACTAAAACGATGATATTAGAAAAGACTAACACGAACATATCTTATCTATCGGTCTATTTTTAACATATACTAATCATCATCGCATAAGATAGAGACAACAAGATACTCTTGGCGAGAACGGAACGTATTACTACGACAAGCAGGAGGCCGAGTTTAGTCGATTGCTGTGTTGCCAAGAGTAGTTGAAAGGCAGGACTTTATACCTGCGTTAGAAAGAGAAAATAAATATTCCTACATCTAAAAGTGGCATTTTAGTAGTGGGGAGTTTGGTCAGGATAGAAAGAATCGGACATGTTGTCAACATATATTTTTGTTTATAAATCCGTTTATCTGTGATAATAGGTCATTGGTTGCTCCCCTATTTCAAGAATAGGGGCCCTGTGGGCGTCCTTTTGTCGCGGTTACTTTAATAGAGGTTTCAGCAATAGTCGAGTTTGAAGTGCTGTGTTTTAGCATGGATTTGATCCATCTGCATGTGGTATCATTGATCGCATGCAGCTCTGACTATGAAGTTGCAGGAGGTGTGGTCAAAGGCTCCTTCTATGTCAAATGCCACTAGTGCGAATTTCTTGTTTCCTAGTGACTTCCCTACTCTTGTAACCAGTTGGTGTAGAGCTGATTCGCATGATCTACCTGGTTGAAAGGCATGTTGGTTTTGGTGAAGTGGTCTCTGTTTCCGTGAGGTTTCCCTGATGTACTTTTCAACTAGTTTTTCTGTCACCTTTAACATAAAGGACGATAAGCTGATCGGTCTGTATGACCTGGCCTGAGATGTGTCTCTGCCAGGTTTTTGGATGAAGACAGCTTTTAATTTTCTCCAGGACCCAGGAATATAGCCTGTTACCGGGCTGGCTCTGCACAGCCTGTAGATGTGTGGAGCTGCTACAAGGTTCACCGCCTCTTGTAGGAGTGCTGGTATTACAGAAAGCGGAAAAGCTTGATGGGTTTCTGCTATCGGGGGTCACTTCGGTGGAGTCTGGAAAATGGATTTCAAGAAGTAAACTTAATGTTTTTTCCCCATTTTTTGTGAAGTTCCCGTTAGGACTTTCAATGGTTCTTGGCTAGAATTTTCTGGAAACAAGCTCTTTCGGAAGTGTTTTCAACTTCGCTGCAGAACTTCTTGTATTTTTCCTGAGCATTCCGAGGTTTGCTTCCACCACTTTTGTTTGCGAATGGTAGATTCCCATATTGATGTAAAATGCCTCAGGTTTTCAGGCAGAGACATAAGCACTTTGGTTATCAACATTTTCTCACCTAAATCTCCACCCAAAAGCTTCAATTGGCCCCCTATGTCCTATAATTGTGGTATAAAGTCAGCCACACCACAATTTTTATACTCAGGACTGGTAAACATTTGATGTAACAGATGGACACTCACCTGGAAATGGTGTTCATATATGGACTTGAGCTTCTCCCACATTTCAGCTACTGTATTGCAAGAAAGAACATAATCTACAATTTTATCTTCCAACCTGGACACTATAATCCCTTGTGTTTTTGCATCCTTCTTGTCCCAATCTTCAGTTGACCCCGTTGTTGGCCTAGCAGATTTCCCTGTGACTATTGTAAACAAGCCTTTAGATTTTAACGCTATCTGAATCTGGAATTTCCAGCTAATCCAGTTGTCTCCTGCTAATTTAGTTACTTTTGCTGCTCCTGATGATGCTTTCATGGTGTTTTTAATTTATTGGTCCTATACTGTAAACCAGGTATTTAAATTTCGAACTAACTTTCCCCTATACCGGGTATATTTTACTGTCTTCAAAACCGAGTTTTTCGCACCAACAACTATCGACGCGACTAACTATCGATTTACTGTCCGTCACTTCTACTATCGATATTACAAGAACCGTATCGATTTATCCGCCCATATTTAATTTCGCCGACCCATAACCTCTCAACTAAAATACGGTTTTAAACACGATTTTTCCGATTTGAAAGTCCACTGGGCCCATAACCTGTTACGCAGTGGGAAATTGGGTCAATATACAAACACTTTAGATACGGAAATAATGTTGAATAACTTCTATTAATTAGAGAAAACGAAAAATACAATGCTCGGCGGACGTGCTAAAAAAACACACGCACAATCAGCTGACTACCTTGACATTGCGGTGTTGCCAACAACCTCAACTAAAGAAATATTCTTATTGGCTATTTTAACAA